AAAAACGACGTCATTTTGCTTAATTTTATTTTTTGTGCGCTTAGCTGCAACATAAATTTTTATAATTCATAATGTATATTATTCTAAAATATAATGTACATTATTTTAAAATATAATGTACATTATATTATCCTAAATATGTTATTATTCTAACACATAATGTACATTATTTTAATACATAATGCACATTATTCTTACTTATAATATTCACAACAATACTTTAGTCCGTGGTCCACATGCGTGGACGACGGTCCACACAATAATTTGCCTTTCTTCAAGAGGGCGGCCGGATCAAAAGTGTGAATAAAAGGGAATCTAAACCCACATATGAAGATGAGCAAGGGCCAAGGTGTTACCTTTTTTGTCGTCGAATCCACAGGAGTAAGGGTAGATTCCGTCGTGACAAAGACACGTTGGTTCTTCTAAATTTGTGCCCGACCAACATACCCCATCAGAAGTCTCGCAAGAAAAACAGTACTCATAGCTCCCATTATACACCACCGGAATCCCTTGGCTCAACGCCCTCAACAACTCCATCTTGTTGCCCCTCACCTCCGTCAATTTAATTTCCGAAATCGGAACCTCAACTCTCGACTCACAATAACTTTTCTGATCCAAAACCCCCCTCGGGACACTATTGTCGTCCTCAAAAAACCCAAACTTCTCAACACCATCCTCGGTGCATTCGAACCCAAATCTTGAATACTCCGGGGGCAGGTGGAACGACGAGTTACAATCGAAGTGCAACGTAATGTTATGCATATCAGGGAAGTGTAAAAATGGGTCATCACTCAACCTCGTTTCACTAATTGATCTATTGGGGCACTCATCGTCGACCAGATCGCTACGCGCAATTTTCATCATATATTTATAAGGAACATCGATGTCGAACACCCGAAATGACAGGGAATTAATGATCATAGTCGTATGATTAGTTTTCTCGTCGCACGTAAGTTGGAAATCTGGATGGCCGCAATCTTTAAGCCTGTCTCCGCCCCAGAAAGGGTACCCAATACCCTTGATTTCACCGCAGTTATAGTAGCTACTATTACACGTCAAAAACTGATTGCCGGAGACCAGTGGAGAGGAGGTGAGCAGGAGGAATATGATGGTGGTGATGGAATGGGGAAGAAGAGAGTGGAAGCTTAGTACATACATTTGTAATTAAGAGCATATGTAGAGGAGGAGATGATGATGGAGTTTAATGGAGAATGGAATGATATGATGATGCGTTTTCTAGCTGTAATATTTTTAAAGGAAAAGGGCGACATTTTTCCTTCATATTGCTAAGAAACTAGGAACATGAGAACTAGATTGTCCAAGGTTGAATTGTATAACGTTGACCAGTACATTGGAACATGAGAACGCACGCGGCAGCTGCTAAGTTGATCGATGACTCTTTCCACTGGTCAATTACTTAGAAATTATTGGAAAATGAACCTGCTTAATTAAACCGACCCTATACGAATGAAATTAGTCTAAATATAGTACAGTTTTAAAGGTGCTCTCACAGTTAAGACATGCTCATAACACTTCGTGGTTTGACAAAAACATACTTCTGAATTTTTGCTTTCTAACACCCACAGATTCCTATTTTCTTAGGATGATTATTATTATTAAAAGAAGGCTAAGGATTCTCCCTCTAGAAAGTAGACTACAGGATAATGTATTGGTTTAGTTTGTTATATAATATAATATGACTGCTAACTTTGAAGTAAATAATAAAAAAACACAGATGTCCCTTTCCTTTATTATCCTTTAGAATAAGGTTGTGGTCCTTACACAAAATTTACCATGTGAACTAATATCCAAAATAAGATATTTGTACAGACCATATATATAAGCTATACTCGTAGTAATTTGAGCATAAAAATTTATGTGAGTGTATGTTATAAACTTAAAAAAATGGCTTTATTTATTTATTTTATTTTTTTTTGAAGAAAATAATTTCTTGATTTAACAGTGATATGTTTTACTTTAAAATTATTTCTTTGAAAGTATTATGGAGCACTTTTTTTGTTGAAGAATGATAAATTTTACTTTAAACATAATAAATGCTACTTCATTCTTAACAATAATGATTTAGCTTTCAATAATAGGTTCTGCTTAAAAATATTACCTTTTACAGGGCGTTTGGTTGGAGGGAGGGAATTATGTGGGAAAGGAATTGTAATTCCATGGGAGTTGAAATACTGTGAATAAAGTGGGAATTTAAATTCCAGTGTTTGGTTGATAGGAATAGAATTACTGGAAATTTCAATTCCAATGTTTGGTATACATGGGAATTGAAAGGGAATAAGTAGTATAAAGTCAAAAATGTCTATTATTGTTGTTAGACATTAATTTTAGGTTAAAAAAGGAAGGGGTAATTTTGACTCATCACTATCTTTTTTTCCCAGGAATTAAAATACCAGGGGGGACATGGGATTTTAATTCCATGAAAATGGAGGAATTGCAATTCCATGGAATTGCAATTCCCTTCAACCAAACTACGGAATTTAATGGCCTTTGGAATTAGGTGGGAATTAAGTGGGAAGGGAATTTAAAATCCCTCCAATCAAACGCCCTGTTAGTTGAGGAGAAATAGACGATAGCCGCGGCAAAAAATTTCCTATCACCACCACAAAAATAATAATAATAATAATAATAAACATCAAGACTAAGAGTGCTGATGTTTCGAAAGTGAAGCTCTGGTATGTTGTCTTTTTTTAGCAAGAGAAAAACCAACAACTTGAAAAACTCCATAATCATTATTCAAGATTCTTTACTGGATTATGAACCCTACTTTGTGACTCTTGTTAGCAAAGAATCATATAGATCGTAAAGCATCCTAGATTCCTAGGTTACATATAACTGGTCGGCTTAAACTAAAATAGTAAATAGGCCACTCATGTTAAGAATCGAATTCGTAATCTTATGGTTATCAAATCAACTTAAATCGTGTTTTAGTTGTTTATATTTAGGCGTAGTTTCTTCTATTATAATGTACGAAGAAATTATTCACATAAGACTAGGCAAAAAGAAAATCATTATTGTGTGAACGGTGGACCATACTATTAAATAATGTACATTCACTACACAAATAATGTACTTTTAGTATATTAAAAATGTAAATTGTATTCAGAGAAATTAAAATATATTATTTGAGTACTAAAAATACATTATTTTGTATACTGTTCATCCAATACACTAAAAATGTACTTTTAGTATATTAAAAATGTACCTTTTGTTATGATCCACACAATTATTTGACAAACAAAGTTATAACTGCCCAATAATCCAACACAACAATTGTTATACCATGGCCTAAGTTCACCTTGCATCGTACTTCGGTCCAAAAATTATGTGTCTATATATATTTAACATACTATGTGTCTTCAATTAATAAATAATTTGTCTATAAATAAATTGAAAGCACATAATTTGCTAACTGCGAGCATATAATATGTTAACTGTATATTATGTATCTGTAGTTAACATATTATATGTCTTCAATTTATTTACAAACACATACTATGTTAATTACAGATACATAATTTAAATATCATTTTAGATCAAGGTCTACCTTATATTATGGACCCGAATCCTTAGAATTAATTTGCTTCCAAACTAAACACTTGCAATCATTATTGCATGGACCATGATCCACACAATTATGTGGACCATAAATAAAAAGTACATTTTTAATATATTAATGGTACATTATTTATGTACATAAAGTACATTTTTTCAAAATACAATTTTAATATAGTAAAGCTACATTATTTTATATAATGTAGCTTCAGTACAAAATAATATACTTTTAATTTATTAAAAATATGTGTGGACCATTACAATAATTTGTGTGGACCATTACAATAATTTGCCAAACACTCGTAACTGGGCCGTTCATAAACTACATGTGAAAACTTAGATTGGGCCTCTACAAATTCCTACGCGTCACCCATTTTCCCTTAATATTTGTCAGAAGGCACAGACAGGAAACTGAGGAAAGACCATATTACAAAGTCACGTTTGAGTACCCAAAAAAAAAAAAAAAAAAAAAAAGTATATAATAATACAGACAGGAATTAAAGATAGTGGCGGACAGAGTTGACCGTGATGCAGTTTCGGTATATTACAAACGAATAAATTTTACATGTCTTCCTAATTTCTCCTCCTATTTTATACTCCCTATTATTTAATATGCTTTTATTACTCAATTTTGTAGGGGCTCAAATTTTAAAAGAATCACTTGACCTAGAATTAAAAGAGATACTGTATGGATAACCAAGCCAAAACGACTAAATATACAAACTTGTGACTACTATGTCATGATTTTAAATCCAACCTTCTTTGTTTTATCTTGTTAATTAGGTACAATTTAAGCTAATTTATCTATTTGTGATCTTTTACTAACTAGGGTCACAATGTGAGCTCCGTACACACTTTAAAGTAGTGGCTACGGATTTAAATTGTCACAAAAAAGAACAAAAAAAAAAAAAAAAAAAAACAGATCGTGACTGGGTTTGGTATAGTCAACGAAGGAATAGTGTAGAGGAGTTGCAAGGTTGTAGTAGCTAGCTTATAGGTGTTTTTTGAAGTTTTAAAAGTCCAACTATCCCCATAAGACAAAATCCACAGATCAGCTTCATACTAGCGGCGTGGAAATCACTCTCCTCCATTCGACCATTCCTTTTAGATTCCACACCGTACCCAGTCAAAACCCAAACCTAATCCTTTGCATAACAAGTCTTTGGAGATGACAGCTGCCTTCCTCAGTCCTCACCATGCGCACAGATCATAAAGATTGTCACTAATTTGTATTTTCCCGTATCGGAAATGTTAGGTGAATTCTTATGTTGTTGAATATTCAACAACCAACTTGACTCAATAATAATTCACTTTTAAAGCTAGAAACTATATTGCAGGTAGCTAGGCATACAGAATGAATGAATGAATGTTTAAGAAAAAAGAAATGGTTGGGAATTGAATGAAAGAAGTAGGTGAATGATACATACCTTTAGAAGGGCAATCAGGGACGATAATGACTGTTTCGTTCTTGCAAAAGCACAAAAAGTTGCCGAAATTATGTTTGCCCTGCTCGCACCACCCTTGGGGATTACAGTGGCTGCAATCGTCCAACGGCTGCCAGTTAAGATTGAACCCATTACTCATAGCTCCGCCGATGTTCATAACTAACCATTTAATATCATTTTCAACTACCCCTACTGTTTCCATCACCGTCGTCTCCACTCTGGCCTCACAAATTCTCCACCAATCCCAACTGTACGGATTAAAAGCTCCCACATACAAGTAGGACGCCTTTCGGTCTGACTTTAAACAGTGAATAGGAGGATAGGCGGCATCTCCACCAGGAAGAGGATTTTGGGTGCAGTTGAAGTAGAAAATTAGATTCAGATCTTTATGGCCGTAATAAAGCCACGGAGATTTTTGGGTGAGAGTAAAGTTGTGGCGTGCCCTGGGACAATCTTTCTTGAATGCATCGGCGTCCGCAAGAGTAACTGAATAATCATCATAGTTGATGTCCTTGACGAGAAAAGCATCATCAGAAAGGTAAAGAAGGGGGAACTCAGGATGTGGGTTTGAGCAGTCGATGCCGAAACCGGGATACCCACACACGGTTGATGAATTGTCGTCCACCCTCCAGAAAGGATATTTAATGTTCTCCAACTTTCCTAATTTCTTGCAGGGTGATGGAGGGTGGCAATGATTTTCTCTAAATACTACTGCAATATGATCTTCATCTGCGGCGTTTAATTTGATTAAGAAGAAGAAGAAGAAGAAGAAGATGGTAAACACAAGGATGAATGAAGAGGGAAACATTTTTAGAGAGCAGTTGACTGGGAAGCTAAATGGCAGGCGTGTGTGTATGTGCAACCACCCCACCATTACTTTTATGTATGCAAAATGCCAGCTAACAATGTCTTTCTTTAATTCTGCTTTGCCCATACCGTGTTCTTCTTTTTAATTTGGGACATTTGGAAAATGGAGCAGTCAACGTCGTCGTCTAAACAGTCTACTTGCTAATTCTTTCCATCAAACAAATTCTAACATACAATAAAGATTCCTAAATACTCTCTCTTTCACATGTATAAATATAATACTTTTACATTTTATAATTTAAATGTATTATATTTTCTTTATAGGTAACACATCTCTCTTCTTTCACAAAGAATCAATACTGCTTCCATTGAGAAAGTCACTTTATGCCACTAGACCACAAGGTCATTGGCATATATATACATCTATCTGAATATACTTGCTTTCTATTTGATCTTTTAATGTAATAAAATGTCACATATAAATATTTACAAAATAAAAAGATAAACACTAAAACTTTTAGCACAAAGAGCAAACAAAATGTAATTGACTAAGACCATCTCCAACGGAGCGCTAAACCACCAAAACACCAAAAAAAAATAAAAAAAATAAAAAAAATAGCGCGATTCAGCTCCAACGGGGCACTATTTCACCAAAATTTTGGCGCACTATGAACAGTGCTACGCCATATTTGGCGCAACACTTTTCACATTGCGCCAAATCTCTATAATTTTTTTCTTCATTTTTACCCCTCTTTTTTGTTTAATTCCTTTTGTATTTTGTTTTTTGTTTTAATATATTTGTATATTTTGTTAAATTGTTAACTATAAATTTTATATTATTTAAAATGAATTATATCATTTGAATGATTTCATCAAGACGATTAAAATAAGTCTAATATTGAACATAGATTAATTAAAAATGAAAACACATAAAGCTCAATTATAACAAAATTAAAGCAAATTACATACTTAATTTAAAGCAAACATATAAAACTTAATTAAAACTACTTTAAACATACTTAATTTAAAGCAAACACATAAATTGTATATTATTAAAATAAATTTATATCATTTGAAAGATCTTATCAAGACGATTAAAACAAAACTAATATTAAATATAATTTAATTAAAAATAAAATTACATAAAATATAATTAAAGTCTAAATTATTAAATTACAACTATTAGTTTTGTTAAAAGAATAAAAGTATAAATATAAACTTTATGAGGGGTGTAGGAATAAAATTTGGTGCAGAATTTGGTGTAATGGGTTGGAGATGAAAAAAATTTGGTGTAAGAATATGCTGGGAATATTCCTTTTTTGTGCAAAATTTGGTGCAATGGTTGGAGATGGTCTAAGCTTGCAGATAAGCAAACGAGCAAAAACAAATAAACTTTTTTTTTTTTTTTCATTTGTTACACTTATAAGTGATGGTTTAAAACGATAAAATGAGATAGTTAGATAAAAATAAATATATTTGGGTAGATTGTTAATATTGGCATCAAATTGACTGAATATATTGAAAATATAGGGGTAAATTGACTAAAAATAAACATGATAAAATTGGCAGCGCAATAATAACATTAAGGCCAAATTAATATTTTTGCCAAAAATAATAATATATAAAAAGTTTGGATGGAGAGGTAAAAACTAACACATAATTCTATTAGAATTATAGACAATAGAAGCAGTGAGCAAATTGAAGTTTGGAAGCTACAAAATACTTCCATTTGTAGTTCAAAATGCATCCAGTCAAAGTGGGACTATAAGTAAACAATTAGTAAACCAAAAATAGATAAGAATTACAGAATATTACTTAAGACTTGATTCCCGTTCAATTCATGCCACAAGTATTGGGATATAGATTTGAATTAGTCTCTTTGTACGTTAAAGTATATAATTTAGTGTTGAGTTCAAAATTAGATTATTTTTTCATGAACATTGGTCAGATTTGTGAAGTTCATGGTATAATTTTGTGAAATTTAAAAAATTGGGTTATAAAAATAATAATAAAGCAAAAATATAATTAAAAGTCGGTCAACTTTGTGTGGGAGAAGAAAATCGGAATGCACAAAAGTTCAAACCACACGGCTTCTCAACACCCAACACAACATACTGCATAGTACTTGTACGATTAATCTGTGCTAGTTGCAGATCACAATCAATAAATTTCTTTTTTCTTTTTTGGACTTATACGCAGCGTATAAGACACGATTGATGATATTATCATAGTATGAGTTCTTTACCGTATATATTACGTTTAAATAAATTTTGATAGTGATATTAGAAGAAAATGCAATTTCAGATATCCAATTATACGTATTTTAGGGTCCATTTAAAAATTCAAAAATAACTTTCAAAAGTCATTTTTAGAATGAGTAGCGATTCCCATGAGTCTTTTTGGTATTAGCTATTCACAAGTTCTCAAAGATTAACTTTTCATCACACACACACATATTATGGACATATCAGAATTGTAGAATAAGTTGAGATCAAACAGATTGAAATCAATGAAGAGAAGAAAATATGCAGTGGCAATTTCGTAATTTCCTGCACCATGTATATTTCGATTGTGCACTTATGAATGCTCTGTAGTGCACTTTTGTTGGATCTAAGCGTTGTAGTATGCTTACTTCCCAAAGGGTCACCCATCTTGTGACTGTTGTAAGTCAAGCATGCTTAATCACAGAGTTCTTTGGCTATCTGGTTGCCATATCCTACTTAAAACCAATTAGTGATAAGTAGGTGAACATTAACCATTTAACCACATCCCTCCATGGTAAGCCACATTGCGGCTTCTGGATCTGGTCTGAGACTAGGCCGAAGAATCGCGAAAAAAAAGGGTTGCGACAGATTGGCCAGTTAGGCGGTCTAGACGCTACCTAGACGCGAAGGAGGCCGATTCTGACATTTCTCGCCGCGATCGGGCGCCTCCTAGTGCCTAGACGATATTTTTGCAACCATGATCTAAACTACCTTCTACACTGACGCTTGATGCTTGATTAGTGGATGATTTCATTAAAGACAGTTGACGAGCTACAAATGAGGGTGCCTAGCTTGAAAGGTCTTTGCAAATGGCCCATACGTGTTTGTAGCCTAATTTTTCTCAATCATATTTTTGTTTATACTCTTCAGTAGCACACACCATATATCAGCATCAGTAGCATCGCTAGCACCGCTAGCACCGCTAGGGCGCATTCGTTGTAATTTTACAGTAAATGGCATGAAACTCAAAGGTCTTAGCACAAATTAGACTTTTAGTAACCATATTTTTCAACCAGTTTTAGTAAAGTCCCAAAACAATTAAACAGGTTGAAACCGGAAAAATAACAAAAGAAAAATATGAAGAGACAAAAATGCTCTTACAAAAAACAGAAAAAGTCATGAAAATGACTAAAAGTGTCCAAAAAAGAGTTAATTCCGCCAAACGGCCATTGTCTTTGGTGACAATTCCAAATTTAGTCCCAGACTATCGTTTTGCCATTTAACATCCCTAGACTATTATTTTTTGGACACTTTTAGTCCTTCTCATCATTTTTCCTATTTTTTGTAAGGGCATTTTTGTCTCTTCATATTTTTCTTTTATTATTTTTCCAGTTTCAACCGGTTTAATTGGTTTATAACTTTAGGTAACCTCTGATTTTTTAATAATAATATTTTTAACCGGCTTTTAGTAAAGTCCTAAACCAATTAAACCGGTTAAAATGAGAAAAATAACAAAAGAAAAATATTTATAGTAAGTCACTTCATGCCACTAGAGCACAAGGTGACAACTAAAAATAATTAATATACTTACACTATAATATTTATAGTAAGTTTTTAATTTTTCATTATTTATTTTTATAAAAATAATTTATTTTGTAATATATTTATTATTTTTAAAAAATGTAATTAAAAAATACTAAAGATGAGCTTACCTATAAATTCCATATATATTATGTTCCACATCATTTCTCTAATAAAAAAATAACCTTAAGCAGTTCGGGTTATCTGGTTAGCCTGTTCAGGTCATGATTAACACGTGGCAATCTAGTTAGTCTGTATAGTATAAGGACATTTTCAGCCCAAAGAATTTAAGCCCCCACCATCGAGGTTCGAACATATATGACCATAGGAGAGTAACTTGGTGTCACTTGACCACAAGGTCATTGGCATACCAATACGATTTTAATTAGCCTTAAAAGTGAATCATTGAGTCTAGTTGGTTCTTGAATATTCAACAACACACTCTGCATGATAAGAATTTACCTTGATTATGCAAACTACTATGTAGTGTGATGACAAATCTGTTACCATTTCAAATGGGTGGTCAAAGGATTGAATTTTGGTGGTGTAGATTTGTATTCTTTGGGCTAAAAATTATTGAGAAAGTATAGAATATGTTGGTTTTACGATCACGGGGTAGCCGTTCGGTAGGCCAACACTACTGTAAAAATACTAAGTAAAAGTTGAGAGAGAAAATTGATAGAATAATTGCACTTGAAATCAGAACCCTTTACAATGTAACCTCAGGGGTATTTATACAAGATTCATAAATCTTGAAAAAGGAAAGGAAGAAGAAATTAACAAATTTAAACTTAAAAAAGCTTCCAAACTGTAGTGCTTACTTCCTAGTGCTTACTTCCTAATATTGAAAATGGAAAATCTCGCTGCAAAAATGAAAAGAATCTTCGTCAAATCTTCATTCACCACTTTTGAGCGCGGCAACCGGTCAGGACCCCCGACTACCTGCATTGGTCGCTCAACCGAGCCCGCCGACAAGCCACACAAGCGGATCGTAGCCACGTTGTTGGAGCCTACCCATTTTTCGAGCAAATAGCTAACCTGCCAACCCAATTGCCTAGGTGCGTTGCTGACTGGGTATCTTACCAAAGGTATCCATGAGAATAGATAATACCTTTTAATGAATTATGAGTGTTTAAAAAAAAAAAAAAAATTCACCTAACATTTCTGATACGGAAATACAAATTAGTGACAATCTATATGATCTGTACGTGTATGGTGAGGACTGAGGAAGCTGTCATCTCCAAAGACTTGTTGTACAAAGGATTAGGTTTGGATTTTGACTGGGCGTGGAATCTAAAAGGAATTGTCGAATGGAGGAGAGAGATTTCCACGCCAGTAGTAGAATTGAATGCAGCTG